ATTATATCGCACCCACATTATGTTTAACTTTTTATTTGAAGAAAATATCTTGTACTATATATTATTCATACTTGACTCTCCATGAAGGCAAAATGGAGCTTGCTTCTTTTTCCATGAGAAACTTATACCTTTGAGTATCTCATTAAAGGATAAATTTACTGAGAAAACATGATGTTATATGGGTCATTAAAAGGTGTTTCTCTCAAACTCTTTCTCTAGTTGTTAACAACATAAATATAATCATTATTATTTATCTTCTGATCTTCTTTACTGGCATAACCATTACATGATGTCGAATTATGTCGTGTCTTGAAGAAGGAAACATCATATTACACTTATTCGTTGTCAGTTAATGCTCATCTTAACCCCCACTCAAACCATTGTTAGACTAAGTATTCATTGCTTTATATACTTCATCAACAATAAAACATAAAAAAGTGGCTTAAAATTTTAAAAATGCAACTTTCCATAAATTATCTAAAATTTTGAAAAAAATAAATTGATTATTGTATTACTAACCGATAAATTAGAATCATATCTGACAAATGTGTAATAACTCCTCAGAATATTTCCATGAGATAATTAGTATAACATGCATGCTTATAATATGATATGATGCTCTTTAAAACATCTCTTTATTTTACATTGATCCAATTTGTGCTTACACTAACAATATGCTTTCATTAACATAAATTTAATAACTATATCATCATGTATAGGCGAGGTAATAAATCCATTACATATGGGGGTAAAACAAACCAAATTAAAATTAAATCTTGTTTTTTCATATCCGATAGATCTAAGAATTATTGTTTACATAATAAACAGTCTATCATAATAAATGATCAAACATTTTAAGCAATAGTTCATCATTTCAATTATTTTTCCAATTCATGGTGTGTATTACAAATTTTAAAATGACTTTTTTTTTAAAGTAGCTCGTCATAAAACACAATTTTTTTATTTGAAATATTATAAGATGATAATTTACTATTTAATAAAATTTTGAAAAAAAAATTATCAAAAGTTGTATATATTATATGGATGATAAAAATGAATTGATGCAAGTTATCTTAGCCACTTAGTTGAGAGCTTAGGGTTTCAATAAAAAAGTTCAGGGCTTAAAGTCTTGTATATGCGGTGTGTGTGTCTTGGTGATTAAACTCTCTCAAATTTCCCCAAAAAAGAATTGTATATAAATAACCATGTAATTGAAATTATAAATTTTTATGCCATAGTTTTAATTTAGTTCACCAAATCAAATCACCCATAATTATGGGTAGACACATGACTTATCATTCTAAGAACTTCTATTAGGTATATATAAGGACTAAGAAAATTTTTAGAAGTAGGATAGAGAGCAAAGATAAAATTTTTACTGATTTATTACAATTTTAACATTTACAATAGATTTAATTTTATAAATAACTTTAATTTAGAAATATATGGCATTAACTTCATAAAAGTTTTTAAAATTCATAAGAGATAAGAGCTTATTTCCTTACTCACTTTATAGGATGCAAATATAAGTAATTGTTTTCTTACTTAATTTTCAACTATAAGAAAATTGTAAACAATAAGATGAACTCTTCGAAAAGATTATAACTCCAATAATAAAAAAATTTATGATTTGAAACCACTTGACATCAAATCAATCATAAGTTTATTTTATTAAAAGAGATATGAAATATTTGTATATCTAAAACCTTATAGGTCAAGTCAAATAACTATCGACTAACTTGCACAACTAGTCCATGATCAACTTAGATCAAACCTACTTAAATGCCCATTTGCTACTTGTTCGCCATGAGGTCAACACAACTTAAGGGGATGGTCTGGACTGCTCACCTTAGGTCCACATTAGTTTGTGGCCTATAGGGATGACTCAAAGACTCTCCCACATGAAGAATGTGAGTTTGTTAGATGAAGGGGAGATGAGTATTACTTACAATGTTCAACTCAGGTGAATACAACATAAGTTCCCATCAAATCATTTGAAGATTGGGATACGAGTTCACCCAACAATTAGTTTGGGTTACATCCATACAAACAATTATCTCCCAATGAGCTCAACGTCCGATTGACTCTTTGACTTATCCCATCACTTAATTATCGAGAATATTGCATTATCGACTAAATCGTAAGAGGTGTTACCGCTTCTCATACGCTGCAAGATATGCTTTGATTGTAAGTGCAATCATGTAATTTTGTATTATAATCGCACCATCTATGTATTCAACAAGGATATCCCAATATGTATAAGTATGGGTCACATGTATAAATACGATCATCAAGTGATACATGACAAAAGGGCATTACGGGTAACCATACAAGCCTAGCCTCATCTCTTTACTCCCCGATCCTCTACTGTGCTCTCTATTTTCTTATACAACATATTATTGTCTTAATGGTATGTCTACAGATTGAATAATTTTAGATCCAACAATTTTAATTCAATAAAATAAAAGATTTATCTTAATGAATATAATTTAAAAATATAAATACCATAAAGAACTTAATTGATAGAAATCATGTGAAATTTAAATAAACCTCTACAAAAAAAGAGAGGGGATACAAATGTGAAGGAATAGAATGACTGAAAAAGTAAATAAAATAAATAAATAAATAAATATTTGAAATGAAAGTTTTTGGCTTTGCATAAAGATTCAGTGAATATTTTTAGATATACTAAACCCTAAATAAGGAGTTTTAAAAAAAAATCACCCGATAATTAATTTAAATTTGACATTAATTATTTGATGCCTGTCACCATCTGCATATTTCATGCATGCATGTACGTAAAGTTCATGAATTAACTTATAACTTGGGTTTAAACGAGCCAAACACGGGCGAACTCAGGTTTAGCTCGTATTCGATTCGTAGAAAAATATTAATGTTTGTATTCGAATCGTTCATATTTCGAGCACAAAAAATGTGTTTGTGTTCGACTAGTTTGTTTAATGAGCCGAACATGAGCTGTTCGCGAATAAAATGTCTTTTTGACAACCCTAGTCACACAGTTTTTGGATGTTAAGGGTTGAGGCAAGATTTAAATCTTTTTCTTTATATTAAAAAATTATTTAAATATAATTTAATCTATTTATATTCTTTTTTTTAATTAGTAGTTTTAATTCATCATAAATCTTTGTAGCCTTTATAATTATATATATATATATATATATA